GTTATGCATAGTATAAAGATAACTTAAAATACATGGGAAGATTAGGCAACTTCTATGCAAATGTTATCCCAGATTCGTACAAGGGACTTGAGTCCCTTTACATGTTTCAGTTGCTTTGGAAAAATTTGCAACCAATCAATCCCCCACAAGAGAGGACTATACAGTGTTTGTTTGTCCTTGACTCTAAGTATCAACATCATCTGTTCTCTGCACTGGCACACACTGTCAGAACTTGACCAAAAGTTGAACATTTCAAATCAAGAAATGCTAAATCTGAAAAACTGCAAAATGAAAAATTTTTTTAAATAGGTCTTACTGTGTAATCCTGGCTGACCCAGAACTCACTATGTAGACAGGCCAGCCTCAGAGTCACAGAGATCTGCCAGTCTCTGCCTCCCGAGTGAAGAAATGGGATTAAAGGAGTGTGCCACTAAGCCTAACAAAAGTTCTGAGTACAAGTGAAAATGTCTACACCTGACATCATACAATATGTTACAGTGAAAAAGCAAACATATTGAAAGTATACAAAATTAATTTTATACTACATTTATTAAGAGTGCATGGGACAGGAATGAATCTTGTGTTCTGACTTGGATCCCATTCTCAAGGTGTCTCATTATATAGATGCAAATATTCAATAATCTGAAAAACTCTAAAATCAAAAGCATGTCTTCTTCCAAGAATTTTTCAAATCAGATACTATGTATACAGTTCTAGTAAGTGAGGCTAGCTGGAGACCTGTATCTCATCTACACCTATGCCCAGACACAATGCCTGCCTTACAGGACACTCCCTATATTGAGCAATGCAATAAAATCACTGACTCTTTAAATGCTGTTCTAAGGTGAATATTCCATGCATATTAAGTAGAAGAAAATAAACTTTATATTTTTAACTGATCAAATTTCTCTCCAGGCCCATTTTCAACAATTTTTTAAAGTTTTTATTTATGTGTTTGTGTGAGTGTGGACCGTATGTGTGCAGGTTCCTGCCGAGGGTCTGATCCCCTGTGGTTGGAGTTAGAAGTGGTCTGACATGGGCACTGGGAAACAAACTCATGTCCTCTAGAAGAGGGACAAGCATTCTTAACCAGTGAACCTTTGAATCTTTTTCAAGAGTATTTCTGAAATGTAGATACGGAAATATAAAACATTTAACACAATCATCCAGCTAATGCTTTAATTATGGAAGATGCAGCATTGTGTCCACAGGAAAAACACACTGGTAAGGGATAACTATGTGTAAACATTAAATACAATCAAAATAAAGCTATGACATGACAGCTACATTAGAGCTGAAAAACCAGATACTGTAAAATAGGCCTGTAATCCCAGGACTCCTCCCAGGGAAGAGGATGGTATGTCACCAGGCTAGGTGACAAACGAACAAACAAACAAACACTAACCGCCCACTTACTGGTCAAGACAGTGGCTAAAATTTCTCAACTTGAAGCATATTTAATTGCAAATTCTAAGTACATTTCAACCATGCCTCTGAAGCCCTGTTTCAAGGCCTAGGAAGAAATTTAAATCCAATGTACTGAGAACGACTGGTGGGTTGACATGAGAAAGATCACAACCTTCTAATAAACTATCCTTACTCCTGGCACCAATACAACTTTTCTAAAGACTTTGAATGTCACTTACTCATGCAAAATATATTTCTAAAACTAAGTCTTCGAAAGCAGAATTCCTTCACATTTTACCTTCTCTTCTAGCTGGTCCTTCAGACACTGGTACTTTAGCTTCAGCTTTTTGTTCTCATTTTCATTCTGGGTCAAATCCTCCATTAGTCTCTCACATTGGGACTTCAGCTTCTCTAACTGACAGCAATGGGCTTTGGCCATATTCTTATCTTCCAAGCTTTCAGCCTGAAATAAAGACAAGGAGAAGAGAGAAAGCTGACTGGCGGCAACTAAATGATACCAAACACTACACTTCGCATAAATGGGAAAGCACTTCAGGATTTGAGCTCTCGGTCATAGTCAGAAATCAAACACAAAGCAAATGTTCTTCGCATTTATTCAGTCAGTCACCAGTGCATCTCAAACACTTCCCAAGTGACAGGTACTACACTAGGTACTGAAGAGGACAGATGCACACAGTAAAAAAGTCAGATGCAACAGTCAATTTGTCAGCAATGAAAGAGAAATGTTTCTTAAAGATGCTGGTAGATATATTGCTAAAGACAACAGACTAACTACTGGGGGAGGCCTGAGTTAAGAGCAAGGTATTCCCAAAGGGGAAACACTACAAGGTACTAGCCAGTTTCCTCATCTACAAAGAAGAGCTTAACATTTCTTTTTGAACAATGTAATATTGATACTCTTAAGAAGCTAAGACAGAATAGTAGGGATGAGTTTTTCAGCACAAGTAGTGTGATAATGCACCTTCTGCTCTTTGTCTGGAAATATTCAAAATTGACTTTTAAAAATGCATATGAGGGCCAAAAAGTCTTTCTCTTTCCCTCTGGGAATTGCAATCCTAATCAAAATTCCACGACCATTCTTTACAGATATTTAAACACACACACACACACACACACACACTTTAATTGTTTAGGTAAGCACAAAGACCAAGGACAATGGAAACAAATCCTAAACAAAAAGAAAATTGCAGGTCTCACCATACCTGATTTCAAGTTATGCTACAGAGCCACAGTAATAAAAACAACATGGTACTAAACAAAAATAGATTATTGGAAAAGAAAAGAGGATTCACAGACAAATCCATGCAACTACAGACACCAGACTTTTGACAAAGATGCTAAAAATATGCACTGGGTAAAAGAAAGCCACCTCCAACAAATAGTATTGGGAAAACAGGGTATCAACATGTACTAGAATGAAGCTAGACCCTTCTCTCTCACCTTCCACAGAACTCAACTCCAAATGAATCAAGGACCTCAACTCTGTTACAGGAAAAAGAATGGAACACACTTCAGCAAAGACTGTCTGAATAAGGGATCTGGAAGGACAGGAAATGAAACCACCAACTGACAAATGGGATTTCATAAAACTAAAAACCCTCTGTGCAGCAAAGCAAACTGCCAACCAAGTTAATAGGCAGCCCAAGGAATGGAAGAAATATTAGTCACCTATAGCCCCGATAGGGGGTTAGTATATAAAAAAATACAAAGAACTAAACATCAAAAAATAGAACCCAATAAAAAAAAAAGTCATCAATCTGAAGTGAGAACTTAGAAGAAATGTAAATAGCTAATGAACACCTGTGAAAAGCCTTCAATGCCATTAGCCATCAGGGAAATGCAAATAAAACTACCATGAGATTCCATCTCACCCGAGTCAGAAGATCTATGGTCAAGAAATCAAATGATGGGCTCAGTGATTAAGAGCACTGGCTGCTCTTGCAGAGGACCCAGGTTTTGTTCCCAGCATCCACATGGCAGCTAACAATCAATCATCTATAAGTCCAGTTCCAGAGGATCCAATGCCCTCTTCTGGCTTTTGTAAGCACTGCATGCATGTGGTGCACTTGCAAAACACTCATACACATAAATAAAAATTTTAGAAAATGAGATCAAATTGCAATAAACACTTCAGTGAACTCTTCATCACCGTCAGTGGGAGTGTAAATTAGTACAGACACTGCAGAAATCAGTGTGGAGGCTCTCAAAAAACTAGAAAGAGAAGCACCATTTGACACAGTGATACCACTCCTGGGCGTACCTTCAAAGGACTATCCTACTTCAGAGATATTCACTCCACATGTTTGCTGCTGCTCTATTCACAATAACTAGGAAACAAAATTGGTCAATATGTCCATCAAGCAACAAATGCATAATGAAAATGTGGTACATATACATAATGGAATTTTATTTGGGTATCAAGAAAAATAAAATCATGACATTTTCAGAGATCATGGCTGGTTTAGACTGTCACCTTGTCTCACCTGGGAAGAGGCCACCTAACCTGGGGAATTTCTTCCATTGGAGTCATTGTATGCATGTCTACAATTTCTTGATTCTTGGGTGATATGGGAGGGCTCAAGCCACTGTGGGCAGTGCCACCCCTGGGCAGGTGGTCCTATATTGTATGAGAAAGCAGGCTGAGCACAGGCCAGAGGAGCAAGTCAGTAAGCAGCACTCCTCTATCGTCTGTGCTTCAGGTCCTGCCTCCAGGCTCCTGCCTGAATTCCCTAAAAGATGGATCATCAATGAAAGTGTAAGATGCATTTAACCCTTTCCTCCCCAAGTTGGTTTTGGTCACCATGTGTAGCAGAGCATCAGAAAAAGTAACCAGAACAACTGGTAAATACAGGCTCTTACCACTCTTCCTGGTTGCCCACCAAGTCTAATTAACAAGACCTTATTGTGGAAGTCACCACACACCTTGGTTGCTTGAACTGAGCTGGAAGCTTCCCCCAGTTGGCAGGCTTTCACAGTACCAGAATGTGCTATATAGGCTACTGGGGAAGGAAGGGCACAAGGCCCTACCTAGTTGTAAGCGAGATGTACCCACCTGTGCAGTAGTGGCATGACTATGATGGGGATAACCAACCATTCCAACTGGACTTGAGGCCTGCTACAGACCAGGGAATTCCTACCTGGCACTGTAAATGTATTTTTTAAAAAAAAAATCTATGGCTGAGGTCTTTGGAGAACTTAAAATGTGCTATTTTGATAAAGGGCATGGGGCCAAGCTTCCTTCTAAGTATTTTATTTATACTCAAAGACAAATGCAACTCCCACTGTGAAATGGACAGCAATGGATGCAGAGGTGCATGGCTACTCAAGATGCTGAGAATAAACACTCATTGTCGGCTCTACACAGGATATTTAAACCTACCCCACTAGGACTCAGGGTACATCAAGGAGTAAACTATGCAATCATAACTTCACAGCGACTTTAACTACACAGGACTAGGGCTATCAACTGTGGAACTGGGAGGGGCTTAAAGGGCCCTAACTACCCCCTGCTGAACTACTGGCTACTGATAAGATTCTAGAGAAGGGGCAGTCATTGCAACACAGTGTGCCCACTGAGGAACCCACCAGGTTCCAACAGATAGTTCCAAACCCTGGTCACAGATGACACTAGTGATGTTCAGTGGGTCTTTAAAAAGAACTTGTGAATGTAGGAAGGGGACTTGTAGGAAGGAGGAGGTTTTAAGGGTGGAAAGGAGATTACAGAGGAGGGGTTATAATAATCAGAATACCTGTTGTACATGTATAAAATTGTCAAAGAACAAACTCAAAAGTTAAAAAATTAAAAATAGGGGCTGAAGAGATGGCTCAGCGGTTAAGAGCACAGGCGGTTTTTCCAGAGGAAATGTGTTCGATTCCCAGCACCTACATGGTGGCTAACAACCATCCACAATTCGAGTTCCAGGTGATCCAATACCCTTTTCTGACCTCTGTGTGCATTGCAATGACACAGATGCTCATACATGCAGGCAATACACTCGTACACGTAAAATACAAATGGTAAAATTTTTTTTAAAAAATCAAAAGTGAGGATCAGGGTCTGGGGAAGGGGCTGCAGACGCCATGTTGGGCCAAGAAGGTGGCAAGAAGAAGCCCCTGAAACAGCCCAAGAAGCAGGCCAAGGAGATGGATGAGGAGGACAAGGCTTTCAAGCAGTAACAAAAAGAGCAGAAGAAACTCGAGGAGCTGAAAACGAAGGTCTCGGGGAAGGTCCTCTGGCCACAGGTGGAATTAAGAAATCTGGCAAAATCAGCTCTTCATAAACCTAGGATGATGCTGATGCCATTTAAACATCTGTATTCCTTGCCAGGACATCTTTTGCCTATAGCTGGAATGAAGTGTTGTCAGAACCTGTTGTACACTGCAATAAACTTTTGTAAAAAAAAAAAAAAACAAAAAACTATACCATGGCAAAAAAAAGAAAAAAGAAAGAAAACTGAAAAGTGCACATTGGGAAGAGTCTATTTTGCATATGGAGTTCAGTCAAGGTTTGCCCTGTTTGCAAACTTAAAAGACTTTTAAATTACAACAGTGTAGATGCTACATGTTAAGGCAGAGCACTTTTACCTCCTTTCACCTTCTCAACAACCTACCCAGGAAGGAACTATTGGTGTCGCACTGCCTCTGTTTCGATATTCAAGCACTGAGAATCTAGAACTTATCCAAGGTAGAAAATCACTAAATATAGACCCAGAACTTGAATCCAGGAATTCTTCCTAACATCTACATTCTCAACAGGCATGTTATAAGGTTCATAAGGCTTAAAAACATCTGGGCACAACTTTCAATAGGAATCTGGCATACCCACCAGTCTGTAAGCAATTGCATGTAAGGTTTAAGAAATATCCCTAAAATGCCGGTTTTTCTTTCCTCATGATGCTAGGGATGCTAGACCATCGGTGGACACTACCGTTTGCTACACTGCTGGCCTGCTTCAATTTTTATAAATTTAGTAGATGGGATTAATTATTTAGGTAAGAATACAACATGAAAACAACTTCCTTAAAGAAATTTTGTTTTCAACAAAATCTATATTTTATTTACTCCACAAAATTCAGCTAAGACTTGATGCCACTTTGAATTAACAAAAGAATTGATTTTTTTATGAGCAATCCTGTATTTACAGTCCCAAAATAAATTTACAAAATAAAGTCTCTCATCAGGAAAATTGCTCAATTACAGTTCTAAGTTTCAGTAGACTGCTTTTACTTTACTTTATGTCCTATAAAAAGCACAGGTAAGTAGGAAGGCTTCTTCTGAAGGTCACTGACTGCTCATGCCAGCTTACAGGCCCTCAGGAGACAGATGTGCTCATCTCCTGCTAACCTCGGCCTGCCTGTCCATGCCTCATTTGAAATCAGCGAAGAGAGGGACACCTACACGTCTAAATTTGCCAGATTCTGTTAGGGATTTCTCTTCCACAGAGAGCCTATTTTCAAAAAATCAATTCTTGGGGCTGGAGAGATGGCTCAGCAGATAAGAACACTGGTTGTTCTTTCAGAAGACCCCAGTTTGCATCCCAGCACCCACATGGCAGCTAACAACTGTCCATAACGCCAGTCCCAGGGGATCCAACGGCCTCTTCTGTCCTCCGCAGGCATAGCACGACATGAGTGCACTTACCTACATGCAGGCAATACACACACACACATAAAATTAAAAAATAAATTTTTTTAAAAAGTTTTAAAAAAATCAATTCTTAACTTCCCTAATAGCTTTCCTGACAGTTTTTTAAATTACATTTGCATTTCATTTCCAGATTTACAAAGTAATGCATTCACAATAACCCAGTATTATAAAATCACTATTCCCATTTTGGTGGTGAAACATAAAAAGTGGCGTAACCTTACCAACATCATATAGCCAACAAGAGTGTAGTACAGAATCCACCCTGCAGCTTTGGACTCTAATAAGAGCACCTAGAGCATGGCATGTCATCAAATATTTGATATTTAAATTTAAAAACAGGTAAGAGAAAGGTGATCCTAGACAGTGGGGAAAAATGTAATTTGTACAGAGACAAAATATAGGTGATGCCTGAGAGCTTATTAATCTCTCAAAAAAGCAGTGAATTATGTGACGCTAAAAGGCACAAAATGTGACGTTCTTGGTGCTGGCTGTGAGAAGCTCTGCCACGCATCATTCAGAGCACCTTCCCGTCAGCTCTTCACCAAAGGTGAATGTATAGCATGGCCAGAATGATGTCACTAATAATGTCATTAAAATGCATAGAGTGACCATGAGGTAAGGTTGCTCCTTAAGTGCAACTAATTTGCTTTAAACAGGAAAGTACTGGGACTTATGGGCTCCAGTTCTTTTAGTTCTTCTGTTACTATGTACCTCATCAAAGAATAGCACAATGCCCCAAGATCTCAGGCTTTCAATTAACAATAATGATGATGATGATGATGATGATGATAGTAATAATGATAATTAAAGTCAAAAGAATCCAGAAAATCCACAGAATGATTGTAAATTACATTTTTCACACAGGCGACTTCTTACAGCTTTTTGTCATCTTACTATATGCCCAAAGCACTTCCTAAAAACAGATAAGGAAATCGATTTTCCCATGTTCCATGGTGAAATTCAAATTGTGAAGATTCCAGGAAGAAATCCCACAATTTCCAACTTCTCAAACATTTTAAGCTGACATCCACTGAACAAATCACTATGTGTATGAACCATGAAGCTAGGCACCATAGGGGATAAAATATGGCTGAGATATGCTTGCTATCTACCTGGACACTAACAACACACCCAAGGCCACCAAAGCTGTTACGCTAGAGGAACCAACGAACAGCTGTGAAAACACAAAGCAAAGGGGGATTCATCGCAACCTCCATGAGATTTCAACTAACGTCAGTGGATGCGTAAGAGGTATACAAATAATGGGGTTTTCCAGAATTAAGCAAAGCTTCTCCTGTAAATGAGAAATCATCACCTCAAATAGAGAGCACTGAAAAGCCTGGGTGAGGAATCACTATATTCTCAAAAGGAATATGGACAGCATGAAAACAGTCAATATGTACAAGTAAGATGGGGCTTATGAGTGCCAGCCGGGCACTGTTCAAGAGACATCAAAAAACCAATAAAAGCTTTTTTGAGCAGAAAATGAAACTCAAACACTTGTTTTCAGAAGAAAAACATGTTATCTGAAGGTAGAAAGGGAGGGGTTGGGGCTGGAGAGAGGAACTAAGAGGAAGCAAAAATGTTACATGGATCATGTCTAGGTGGTCTAGATGAGCAACATACATCCTTTCTGCAATGAAACATACTTCCGTGTCCCAAGCAGTTATGCCTCTAATAACTTTATATGCCACTCAAGAAAGCAGATCTAGCAGTGTGAATGATGTTTTTGTAGCAGTGACCCTAAATCTGCTCCAACTGAACAAAGATTCAGCAACTCTTGGTTAGTAACACACAACTGATCACACAGCCCATTCATGGTGGTAAGCGTCAGCAGTGATGGAATGAAAGGACACTGTTTTCGGTGACACTCAGAACTGTGAGTTCCCTGAGAACTCTTTGTCAAAGCCCTGCCCTTGAGGCTGACAAAACATCCCATGCTCATCCTTATGCAAAGCCTCGCCTTCCTGTGAGATGCACACTGCTCCTCTTTAAAACCCTCTTCCTTGCTGGCAACAGCTGACACAGCAATCACCCTCTTCATAGATTTTGGCAGTCAATTAGTCTTGTCACAGTAGTAGCACGAATGTCCAAATGCCCACCCAACAAGCTAACATCAGAGTTATTTAGCAGATTGTATTCCACCTACCTTCACCCACATTCACAATGGCAACCCAGCAGAAGACCTGTTGGACCATAACTCTAAAAATCTGAACTCTAAGGATTTCTGACTCAATAAACAACCTCTAAAGATAGACTTTTAGTCCTGACGTCTCTGACTCCTTGACAGCAATGTTTCTTCTTCTACGTTAGCTTCATGGCACACCTCAACATGCCCCACATGGACTTTATGGTCTCCCCAGCAGTGTTGGCCTTCTCCATTTGTAAGAAGGCTTCCTACTGCTGCTCTGCTCTACCCCTACCAAACTGAACAACTCCAAACCCACCCTATCAATGCACATCCTAATGATTTCTTCTAAAACCTGCAGAGGAAGATGCCCTGGCTCCTGCTGAAGGCTGGATACTCTCTTAGATTCAAGTCCCTCACATCTCCTGTGGGCCTTTGCTGTGAAAAGGAATGAACACATTTTTACTTCTTTTAGTTTCTCTATCACATTTGATATGCTTTGTTATCTTTGTTATATTTTTCTTGAAATAGCTTACCTGGGTTTCCAAGATACCATTCTCTTCTGATTCTGTTCCCTGTCTCTCATATGGTCTTTTAATGTTTCCTAGAATTTTTTTCTCAATTCTGTCTTTAAACACTGGAGTTCTAGAGATTTATCTTCCTCTTTCTCCTTGCATAATGTCCCAAATTTCACAAGATAATCCACCACTCATGAGTTCCCACATATTTCATTCCAATCTCATGAGTCCCTAGAATTTCATGAGTAAGGCCCTATCACCTAATTTAACATAGTAAGAAACCAGATTTGCCTCTGTTCTCTCCAAATCTTCTGTTCTGTCTGCATATTCGGAGTCAGAGAAGACACCATTATGCAGCTACTCAGTCAAGTTGTTACCTATTCATGCTTGATTCTAAATCCTTTCGAGGACTGTCAAGTAAGAACTCAAGCAACTGACTACGTGGGTTCAAATCATGTCTCCACCACCCTCCAGACAAGTTACTACTTAGCCTCTAATGCCTCAATTTCCTCGTTAATGAGAAAAACCACACAATCTTCAGGGATGATGTATTCAATGATTAGCAAAATGAAGTTCTCCAAGCAGTGACTGACATAAACTGCTGAAGAAATGTTCTCTAGCAGTACTGTTGTAACAGTCAATTGGCATGATTCTTTCAGATCAGCTCTTCCTCATAATCTCCATCTCCACAAAGGGTACTTCACCACATTTAATGGGGATGCCTTCCTTACCAATTCTTCTAGCCTCCATTCGGATCTGCTACCTCAGTCAAGGGCCACAAAATGACTACAGCCAGAATGCTATACTGGACTGGGAAAGAATCCATAAAATGGGTGGAGTACTATAAAGCTGTCAGCTATTTCAATATAATCTACTCTTCCATCCTAAGTATTTTTAAAGTAGTAGTTACATTTCAAGAACTTCTAAAAAAATTATTAACCTTTCAAGATTTATCCATTCTATATCCATCCTATTTAACAAATATCTATAAGACAGCAGAAACTATCTGAGGAACTGGGATATAGCTGCCAACAAATCCAAGTTCTCATGGAGTTTCACTCTGACTGAGGGAAATTAAAATCATAAAAAATATGGATCTACATCATATGGTAAACATTAGAGAGAAGCAGCAAAGCAGGGAGATGGCTCCATCTGCCACCTGACAATCATGCTATCGAATGACTGCCCTGTGTGGAACAACGTAATGCCATTAGGCTTTAGAAACTTCCCCCGAGGCAAGATCTCAATTAGAAATTTACTCAGAAAGCTTAGATTTGGAACAGAAAGAGTAAATCTCAAAAGCCATGCATTTTCGCAGCATCTATGCTGTGTAACTTTGGTTACCATACTAATCTGGGCTGTGGCTATAGCTCCTGCGGCCTTGACAAGTCTTTGCCTTTTGTATTTTAGGAGGTCATAAATGCTGAATGAGGGCACGTTTCAGGTCCAGGACTTACTGCCACCTCTACCTTTCCTCAACTCCCAAAATAGCTAAATGTTCTTTCTAAAGGCCTTTCACGCTCAGAAATAGATGCTCCCAGGCGGCTGCTATAACTCATTGTGACCTGGCCGAATAGGCATGAATAAACTTCTTTATTGTTGGTTTTATCTTCCCTGTAGCACTTGGGAATAGAGAATGATCTCTAAAAGTTTACACTTTGTTAACTTCATGAGCCACCAGAAAAATCCTTCAGTATCAAGATAATAGAGCATGGCTACCTCCAGCGTCCTAATATGGTCCTCGGCTTCACTCTTTTCCTTCTCAAAGTGCTTCATCAGCTCCTGGATGTTCTGTTCATGCTTCGTTTTCACACACTGCAGTGACGACGTGAGATCTTTCAGCTCCCTCTGGTGAACATCTCGTTCCAACTTTAACTGTGTGATGACGGTAGCTGTTTCTTCCTCTCTGGATTTTGTCTGGGCTTTAAGTTCAGAAAGGTCCTTAAGCACAGCTTTCTTGGCTCTCTCTTCTTCAGCCAACTTATTAGCAAGATCTGCTCGAATGGCACTCAAGTCCTTGATGGACTCTTGCATCTCGAGAAGTTTAGCTTTGTCCTGGGCCTGGCTCTTCTTTAGCTCTGTAATTTCTTCCTCCAGGTGAATTTTCTCAGCTTTTGTCTGGCTTTGAAGCTTACTCTGCCTTTTCAATTCACTTTCCAGTCTCTGAATGGTGTCCAGGGAATTCCTGACCTCCAGTTCAAGGTCAGCTTGATGAGACTGAACTTCACTTAGTTTCTTCTCCGTACAGTGAAGCTCCTCCTCTTGCAAGGCACGCTTGGTTAAGACATCATTCAGTTCCTTTCTAAGATTCTCTATCTGTTGTAATGCTGCATAGAGCTGACTTTTCAATTCATCCTTTTCTTTAAGAATCTAATGGATTGAGAACAGAAAACATTACTTCAAAATTCACCTTGGATTCTTCCAGGTAACAAAAAAATTTTAATCCATATGGAAAAGTTCACTTAATCATATTTTAATGAAAAATAATTTAAGCTAGAAAGTGATAAATACATAATTAATCTGAAATAATGTAATACCACACTGAAACATGTATTTCAAATTCCCATTACTAAAATATATCAATCCATAGTGACAAATAATTACTTAAATATAATATAAAATTGAGCAAAGGAATGGGGGAAGAAAACCTACTCTAATTATTTACTATACATTGAAATAGTAAAGTATTGCCTAAATAAAATAATTCTTATCCCAATGAGACAAGAAGAGAATAAAACAGAGATGATGGGGCTGGAGAAATAGCTCAGTGGTTAAGAACAATGGCTGCTCTTGCAGAAGACCAACCAGAGTTCAGTTCCTAGTACCCACATGGTGGCTAACAACCATTGGTAACTCCAGTAACAATGGATCCAACTCCTACTTCTTAACTCTGTGGGCACTTCATAACAAGGGTGCACTTTCATACAATCATGCAAATACTCACACACATAAAAATAAATAAATCAGGGCCGGGCATGGTGGCACATGCCTTTAATCCCAGCACTCGGGAGGCTGAGGCAGGAGGAACTCTGTGAGTTCAAGGCCAGCCTGAGGCCTGGTCTACATAGTAAGTTCTAGGCCAACTGGGGCTACAGGGAGACCCTGTCTCAAAAAGACAAAATAAATAAATAAATAAATAATAAATAAATAAATAAATAAATAAATAAATAAATTTTAAACAGTGAAGTGCAGAGAAACATAGATGCAACCCAAGAAAGGTTATGACACATGATATGTGCGACTTGTGGTATATTAATCAATATATGTCACTTTTGGTATATTATCAATATAGCAATATATAATCAATATCAATTTGTCAGTATTGACAAGAAACACACCAAAAAACACTCAGAATTTGAAACCCCACAAAGGTAGAAATGAGATCATTTAAGGTGAGAATAGAATGGTGAGGGACTCAAGAGAAAAGCTGATGGACTGGACATTCATGACCCGTCAGCTTCACTGGGGATAAGGAATTACAATGGGTGACAGAGGCCAAGAATGAACTGTTCTGGTCTCTAATTCTTACCATGCGGTCATTACACATGAAAGCACAACAGCCAGTGGGGTAAAGGGTGTTTCCTCCACACGCGGCACCAGGGACAAGTCTACACTTGCTGCCTGGTGCTCACCATGCCATCTTTGTTTTTGTTTTTGTTTTTGTTTATGTTTCTTTTTGGTCCTTTTGAGACAGGGTCTCCCTGTAACCCCAGCTGTCCTGGAACTCATTATGTAGACCAGGCTGGCCTTGAACTCACAGAGATCCGCCTGCCTCTGCCTCCGAACTGCTGGGATTAAAGGCGTGTGCCACCAGGCCCGGCTTGTTTTGCTTTTTATTTCACCCTTAACTGAGAAAAATATTGTGCATACTTATGAGACAGTATGATATACTGATGTTTCCATCACGTCTGGAATAACGGAAAATTAAGGCTTCTTTTAGAATATGAACTAGTGAATGAAAATGCAAATTTATAGAAGGTATTTTTATTTAAACTTCAATATAACACAATTACTGATAAAGTGTAATGAGTTGACCAGTTCACAAGGTGGTTTCCTTAAATCCTTCTCAATTCTTTTAAGAAGAAAGAGGACACAGTGCTTCAAAAGAAATTACAAAAGACAGATATTTTTTTTCTCATTTGTGGATCCTAGATTTTATACAGATGCTTATAATCATAAATATATATGATTCATCTATACATATATATGAATGTATAAGTAAAACTGTCTGGGGCATAAACGGAATCAAGAGGAACAGGGAGCAGTAAGAAATGGAGAGCCAGGGGTAAGGGAGAACATGCGCAACATACAATGTGCACACATATGAGAACTTAAGAAAGAAAAGAAGGTAACTAAACAGTTGATCTCTGACCGGAAAAATGGAATTCGAATATTAGTTCCGCCATGCATAGGTCTACAGACTTAAATTTATCAGTCACACATCTTCATAGCAATAATAATTAATTCATGTTATGACTCAGTACAATAGCTTCCTCTAGATGCCAACACCATTTTCAAGCAGGCACAGGAAGCAGAGAGCTAGTTAAGAACTCTTAAAGCCTGCCCCCCCCCCCCAAAGTGATGTGCTTCTTCTAGCAAGTCTCCACCTCTAAAACCTCCTAAAACAGCACGACCCACTAGGGACAAAATGTCCAAATACTTGGAGCCTGTGGGGGACATTCTCATTCAAACCATCACTGAGGAGCCTGGAACCTGTGAACTGCAGTTCGCATTGATGAGCCTTGTCTGTTAACTTGGAGCTTCTTAGGGCTGGGAAAGCCAAATTATTTATCTATCTAAGCTGAAGTCAGTCCAAGCACAAATGGGAGGTAGGAAACTCAGCAAACAAAAGTAGAGATAATTAACAAAAGCAAGGTTTTTCACCAGGTCCTTTCCAAATGCCTAAGCATTCTTGCTCAGACAAAGGATAGAGGAGGACAAGGATGCAAGTGAATTATTTTGAATTGCCTCAAGATTAAGGCCATTCTACTAGGGGCCCTGCCTGTGTCCAAGGCACTGAGTTGGTGACTAAGACATTGGTATTTTCAGACTCAGTGACAATATCTGAACTATCTTGGGCTGTGGCTGCTAGCCTAGCAATTAACTGAAAGCATCTTTATGGCACGTAACTGTCAGTATCTATTATTGCCAAAGTAATTCCAGACTTGACTAATAGCCTGTAACTGTCCAGTTTAAATTGCCATCTTTCATGTGAATTGACACTAGGAACACTGGAAAGAGGGTAAACCTAGAGAGTAGCAAAGCCTGGAATTCAAAGGACTGTTATTGAACCATTTTATTTCTAGATTTACTGCACTGTGAGAAAAATATCTATTCTTGCTGTTTAAACCAATTTCAGGAAAACAGTCTAACTCAAAGTCTCTTAACTCATGGCCAGGGGTCTGTGTTGTCTTTTTCAAACACGAATCCCTGTATTTAAGCAGTCTCTTCTTAAGATTTTTAAACTCATGCCATATTATATTTACAGAGCGTTTGCATCTTCTTTAGTGGGATAAATAGAATGATTCCCTCAAAGATATCTCTCCTTAATTTCTGGAACTGTGTCTATATTATTACAAAGTATATGAGGATGTTACCTATTGTAAACAAATAGCACACTCTGGAGGTTAGGAAATACAAGAACATGGTGTTGGCATTTAGAGGAAGCTATTGTACTCAGTCATAATATGAATTAATTGTTGCAATGAAAATGTATGACTAAAATTTTTAAGCCCATAGACCTATATAATGGTGGAACTAAAAATCAAATTCCATTTTCTCTGGTCAGAGGTCAACTGTTTAGTCACCGTCTTTTTTTTTTTTTTTTTTTTTTCATTTTAAAATATACTTCCAAATAGACTCTGGAGTCACTTCATAAAACTAATTTGCAGCAAACAAAAAAAAAGTAGACTATATAATGTTTTAAGGTGCCTTTGTGATTATTATTAAATTTTTTAAGTTAATGAAATATTCTTTACAGGTAATATTCAGTGAAAAATTTTGTGTATCATATTTGGGATTGAACCCAGAGCATCGAGCATGCCAAGGGATCACAGTAGCACTGACTTACATCCCCAGCTCCACATTAAGCTATCTTCTCCATTATTTCCACCTTATCTTTCTTTGAAGACAGGGTCTCCCACTGAACCTGAAGCTTGCTGTTTTGGATAGACTGATTGGCCAGCATACCCCTGGGATATGCCTATCTCTGATCTCCAGCAGTGCTATCAGAGGCACATGATGCTACACCCAGATTTTACCCGGGTGCTAGAGATCTGAACTCAGGTCCTTATATTTTCAGCAAGCACTTTACCCAACGAGCCATCTCCCCTGCCCTCAGATATTTTTTTCCAAAATTATTTAGCATGTATTTGCACATCACCGATTTCCTGGACACTTAAAGCTTCAGTTCTTGCTCTTTCTTCCTTGATTAACCATTGCTTGAACTGCAGCATGCTGCATTAATTTTCAAGGCTTTTAAAGAGAAATTACAATGCCTGCTGTGATAATTATAATACTATTAGAACCGCAGCAATCACTTTAAAACTACTTCTTTGCTTATCATTAGCAATGCTAAGAGATAAAAATAATTATATCAGGAGTATTCTGGGAAATAATTGTTTAAAAAATTTTAATATTCTGAAAACTCAACCTAGTAAACTATGAGCACCATGCCATAAACTGGGTACTGCCTGATGACATGAGCCCTTCTACATTTCCTCTAAGTAAGATCTCCTGGTAGTTCCCAATCAACCGACTTCAACTCTCTCTTCTCTAGCCACTTTCCTTTACAGACGTGCTCATGGAATCAATTGCCAAGTCAGGCTGACAACAGAATAATCGAAGGAAAGAAATTTGTTAGGATCAAAGCAGATCATATTCAAGTCTAAAAGCTCTAGGACTGCTTTACCTCCTAGCAACCAGTCATTCACCATGTGTCAGATAAGTTAAAATGAAAAGCACTCCACAGTGAGTGCAGAGTGATCACTTCCTTCATCTTACATCTGAAAAATACATATGGATGAGGTAAAATATCATAATCATGGCACCTCATCCAAAATACGCAACTTCCATTCTTAAGTACTTCCAGCTGACTTTATAAATATAACTCTACTAGGCTGGGTATGGGGTGCACGCCTTTAGTCCAAGCACTTGAAAGGCAGGGGCAGGCAGATCTGTGTGAGTTCAAGGACAGCCTGGTCTACATAGTGAGTTCCAGGCCAGCTGGGGCTACAGGGAGACCTGTTTCAAAAAGACTAAAAAGATTGGGGGGGGGAAAAAAGTAACAAAACAAAAAACATAACTCTACTGTATTTTCATTCATTCAATATTGTTGTTGTTCAAAAGAAAGTAATCAAATGATCACTCTTCTGGATTATTCCATATGCTTGACAAATAGCAAAGCACAAATGATAACCCAAGACTAAATATGAAGAAAAACTAACCATGACTTTGCTTTTTGTTATCTTCTAAACATCTGTGTTTAATTCAACCCAAAGATAGTCAAAAATCAACATATGAGCATCAAATATATTTAAAGGAACTGGTTACATAAGAGACAAGATAGTGTGAATGCCTACAAGATTAATAAAATGCTTTCTGCCACGGTCACAAGGGCATCAAATAGTCATAAGGAGCCTTGTGACCTGATAGCACTACTCAGTCAGTGAGAATGTCACTTCACTCATTTAGGTAAGCCTATTACGATTGCTTCCAGAAAATAGCCCATTAATAGCTACTGCATTTTTAATAAGCTTCTTTCTAACCTATCCTTAGAGTAAAACATACAATTAAAGAGATTTTAAAATAGATGCAGTAGGGAAAAAGTCATATGATGTTATGGGAGATTTGGTGACTTTCTTCCATTAGAATATTGAAAAATAATTATATTTAGAAAACTCAAGGCTAAACTGAAGCAGGGAGTAGGTCTCTCCATGTTCTGAAAAGCCACACAATACTTAAATATTTAAAAGACTTTGAAAAAATCTAAATAATGTTTTACCTTGAACAAAATAGGACATAAAGCTTCTTTTCTCAAAGACTTATTGATAGGCTCTATGTATTGCTCTAAAGTGTTTGTTCCAAGGATGGATGACCAACGGCTAGTGTAGCTAAACCATTCCTTAGGAACTTGGCTCTTATACCTGATTATTCTTGTCTGTCAGCTGCTCAAGAGTTTCAGTTTGTTTCTCCAACCCTCGCTCCAGCTTTCTGTGCTTGAGCTTCCACTGTCGAATGCATTCCTGAGCTTTCGTTTTCAGGTCTTCTCTCCTCTTCTCTGTCTCCTCTCTCAGGGCCTCTGACTTCCGGAACTCATGGAGATAGTACTCTGCCTGCTTAGTTGCATCCTCTGCATGGTTAGTTAGCTCTGTGATCTGGAGGTCGGCGTGCTTATGATCAGCCTCGCAGGTCTCAAAGTGCTTCTGGATCTCCTTAAGTTGATCCAACATTTGCAGTTGTTGTTTTTCCCTGTTCTCCAATTCATGTGTTAGAGTCTGTGAACAAACCATATGGAGCATTAAAAATAAAATCTTGGCAAGACTGGACATGTGCCATACAAACCAACAGTCTCTAATGTCCCTGCAATGAAAATCATAACTCTTAAATTTCATTAAAAATCAATCCAGAGTCATTTCTATGTACTTAAACAGTCAAATTAGTTAGAAATAATTTCTATAGAACTATTCCTCTCTTTCACACTTCTCTGTGAAAAACAATGAAAATGTGAACCTTTTCAACCGCCACAGACTGAGAAAAACAATGGGTGTTACTTTAGAAAAACTGACTACTTTGTTCAACTAGAGAAATAACAGTGATTTAAAATGTGTCCGATTGTTAGAAAACTCTGCAAAGTAATCATGTAACAGTTCACATCCTGGCAGCACATAAAATTGTACTATAGTAAAATGAAAATCAGCAACAATAGCATGACACCTGACGACAAAGCATGCTGTAGATAGGTGCTATGCTTGAAAGCTCATTTGGAAGCTTCCCAGGGAAGTGGTCACAGTGGTGTCCAGCTAAAGCAATACAATGACATCAGTCTGAACACTTCCCTAAAGCTGGAATGAATCACTGCTATAGATCTGCATGTGAATTTATTTGGACTATTTCTCTAATCAAGACAAGTATATTAAAATCTAACTTTCCCCAAACAAGGGCAGTCATTTTTATATTTGGAAATTATGTTAAATTACAATGAATAATACACATTTTAATGTGAGAATAAGCAAATATTTTTATTTCAAAAATAAGACGATGTGGCTTTTAAGTAAAAGACTGTTATAATCACTCAAAAAACATTGTAAGGAAGTCACAAGTATAGGAATTAAAGCTCACAATGTTTCACATGGGCTATCCCCAATGATATTTATTTTTCTATACACAGAGGTAACAAAAATAACACTTAGGTCTCTCCCAGCACTCACTGTCCCTTATACCCTTGGGCTCAGGCCCACTCCTGTTCTTTCTGCCCTAGAACTCTGAACTACCCTCTAAATCCAGATCTGCCCACTATGTCCAGTTCCCCTGCACTTAGACCAGCTCAGTTCTCAAACTCCAAAGGCTGTCCCACCCCCAACTTGCCCCTGGCTTCCTAATATGAATGCTACAGACCTGCCTTCTACCCTGGTAAGTCAGATCCCACCCTCTGCGTCTTGATTCCCCTGCACCCTCAACAGCTCCACTCTCTCCCTACACCCTGTCACCCTTCTAGCCTTGGGACCAGGCCCACTCCTACTCTTCCAACTCAGATCCCTGGACTAGCTTCCTAACCCAAACTACGTTAATACTCTAGCATAGTTTGTTAGACCCTCCACAGGCTGTCCTCATCCCCACCTTACCCTTGGCATCCTGATCTGCCTGCCTGAGACTTGCCTACCACCCTGGAGTGTCTGATCCCACCCACTATATCTTGATTCCTCAGAAGAATGAACAGCTCCACTCCCTCCCTGCACTAGGTCCCCCTTGTATCCTTAGGCCCAGGCCCACTCCTGCTCTTTCCCTCCCAGATCTCTGGAATACCCTCTTATTAGAGACCTGCACACTGCATCCTGATCCCATGCACACAGACTAGCTCAATTCTCCAGCTTTCTTTGTTAGATCCTCCACAGGCTGTCCCATCCAGGTCTTGCTCTTGCCCTCCTGCTGATCTGCCTATCAAAGACTATTGCAATAGCAATAAGACAAGAGAAGGAAATTTTGAAAAGTACTAACTGGAAAAGAAGAGGTCGAATTATCACTATTTGCAAATGATACAATATTAGATAAGAGAGATCCAAAAATTCCACCAGAAGACTACTAGAAATGATCAATACTTCCAGTAAAGTGGCAGATTAAAAAAAAAATCAACTTACAAAAATCAGCAGCCTTTTTATATCAAAAACAAACACTCAGAAAAAGCATTCATGGAAACTGTCCCATTCACAATAGCCACACACACACACACACACACATACACACACACACAAACACACACACACACACACACACATACACAAAATATCTAGGAATAAATCTAACCAAAGACATTAAAGATATCTACAATGAAAATTTTAAATCTTTAAAGAAAGACATACAAGAAGGCACCAGGAGATGGAAGGCCTACCGTACTGAGGGAATGGTAGAAATAATGTTGTGAAAATGACAATCCTACAAAAAGTAATCTACAGATTTGATGCAATGCCAATCGAAATCCCCATGACATTCTCACAGAGCTGGAAAAAAATCCTAAAATTCATATGCAACCAGAAAAGACCCTCAGTTGCCAAAGCAATCTTGGGCAAAAAAGAGCAAAGCTGGGGGTGGGGGGGATCACCATACCAGATCACAAACTATATTACAGAACTACAGTCATAAAAACAGCATGGTACTAGGGCTGGAGAGATGGCTCAGTGGTTAAGAGCACTGACTGTTCCTGCAGAGGACACAGGTTCCATTCCTAGCACCCACATGGCAGCTAAAAACTATCTGTAACTCCAGTTCCAGGGGAATACTATGCTCTCTTCTGATCTCAAGCGTTGCAGAACACAGGTGCAGTTACACATACGTATGCAATAAACTCATACCCATGAAGATTTTTTTTTAAAAAACATGGTACTAGCATAAAAACAGACACATAGATCAATGGAGCATATTAGAAGACCCAAACTTGAGTATATGCAATTTCAGTCACCTGATATTTGACAAAGGGGCCAATAACACATGCTGGAGGAAAGACAGTATCTTCAACAAATGGTACTGGCAAAACTGGATCTCCACCTGCAGAAAAATGAAATTGGACCCTTATCTTTCACCCTGCACAAAAGTCCATTCCAAATGGATCAGAGACCTCAACATGAAACCTGAAATTCTGAAACTGCTAGAAGAAAACAAGGCAGTACCATACAAGATGTAGGTGTAGGAAAGGATTCTCTAAATTGGGTATCAGTTGCTCAGGAATTAAGGTCAACAATTAACAAGTGGGACCTCATTAAACTAAAAAGCTTCTATACAACAAAAGAAACAATCAAGGAAGTGAAGAGGAAATCCACTGAGTGGGAGAAAATCTTTACCTGGTACATGTCCAACAGAGGATTAATATTCAGAATACACAAAGAACTCAAAAAACAAAAAAAAAAAAAAAAGAAAAAAGAAAATAAATGACCCAATAAAGAGATGGGCTAAGGACCCGAACACAGAGTTCTCAAACAAAGAAATAAAAACAGCTAAGAAACATTTTTAAAAGTATTCAACATCCTTAGTAATTAGAGAAATACAGATCAAAACCACTTTAAGATTTTTGCCTTACTCAAATCAGACTGGCTAAGATCAAGAGAACAAAAGGCACGAAATGCTGGAGAGGATGTGGAGAAGGAAATTCTCATTCTCTGCTGGTGGGATTGCAAACTCCTGCAACCACCGTGGAAAGCAGTGTGGAGAACTCTTAAAAAAACTAAAAATGAACTTACCATATGATCTCATTATACTACACCTTGGCATATACCCAAAGGACTCATCCTACTGTAGAAGATACCTGTACATCCCTATTTGTTGTTGCTCTTTTCACAAGAAATGGAAACAACGTAAATGTTCTTCAACTGACAAATGGATAATGAAAATGTACATTTACACAATGGAGTTCTACTCAGCAGTAAAGAAAGACGAAATTATGAAGTCTGCAGGTAAATGGATGGAACTAGAAACTTATACTAAGTGAAATAACAGACTCGGAAAAGCAAGCAGTGTATTTTCTCCTTCATTCACAGAGCTTAGCACCAATCCCTTATATTTGATTGTATATATTCTGATGTAACACTAGGAGCCAGGAAAATGGAAAGGATACTGGAAGGTTAAAGAAAAGAAAGAGCCTGAGAGAGGAGGATAGTAGGAAACAAAAGTTACCAAGGGGGGAAACAGAGGTAAAGGGGGTATTGAACTGGGAATGGAGAAGGAAAAGGCATACAAAGAACCAATGGGGGTAAAGGGGAAGAAGGAACTCAAGAGAAGGGGGATAGCAAGAGACAAGTATTAACAAGAGGAAATGGGGATATTTAAACTAGAAAAGGAGGAGGGAGGTGAGAGAGAGAGAGAGAGGAGATAAGGCTTAGGTGGCATAAAAAGTCAGAGGGAGGAGCTGGAGAGATGGCTCAGCAGTTAAGAGCACTGACTGCTCTTACAGAGAACCTGGTTCAATTCCCAGCACTCACATGGTGGCTACGAACCATCCTTAACTCCAGTTCCAGGGGAATCCAACGCCCTCTTCGGACCTCCACAGCATTACACAACACGGGTGCACTCACATACATGCAGGCAAAACACTCATATACATAAAATAAAAATAATAAATAAAATATATTTTTTAAAAGTCAGAGGGAAATGTATTAACACAAAAACACCAAAAAAATACATATATAACATACATACACTATTTGAACATTAGCACATGTGTATACCCAGGGGGTGTATGGCAAGGAGCACAGTGCCAGACAGGAGAGACCTTCCTTTGAGTTGTTGGTCAGGGTAGTCCAAGAGACTATCAAAATAACACAAGCTATTGCCACGGCCTTTGATTACCTCCCAGAACTTGAAGGTAAGAACCTACTGTTGAAGTCAGGACATACTTTGGACACAGGACTTAGAGCAATGAAGCTGGAACTGACCTGGAAGCCTTCTGTCTCAATCTATGATCAGGGCTCAAAGTGAAGTATCATTTCCCCATGATTAAAGTCAGTTTGACATTGTGACAAATGTGTGGGGATTTTTTTAAATAATGATGCCTCTGAAACAAAGTTCATTTTTAAAGCAACAGGTTTGCATTGGAACAGTTAGCAAGGCATCCTGGAAGACATGAGTCACTCCCTTGTCCACACAAACAAAACAGTAAACTGAAAAACTCTGTACTTGTTTGTGTGGAAAATTCTACAATGAGATCAGGAAACCCTAGTGACTATGGTTTCCCTTTTGCCCTTTTTCTAAAAGCTTTATCGATGTTCTAGAAATCAGCCTTATTAATGAG